CATGTATTTGAAATACTATTTTGTATTTAAATACCTTTGGGAAAAGTCAAATGTATTTTGTATTTAAATACATTTAATCATAGTATTTTTGTATTTAGTATTTTTGTGTACTTGTTGATCCAGGAAATCAGCAGTCTAATTAAGAGGTTGATTGGCAAAAAGTATTTTTGTATTTTGAAAATACAAAAATACTAAGCTTAAATGTATTTAAACAAAATACAAAATAGTATTTTGTATTTCAAATGCATGTATTTGAAATACTGCCCATCCATGGCAACAGGTAGTTTTTCAGTAATTTTGTGTAGCAGTTCTGAATTTTTAAAGAAAATTTGCGATGTATTTCTTTTCATGATTATGTTTTGATATCTGGAATGATTCCCCCCATTTAACTTGTCACAATAATTAAAATAACAAGGCAATCTATTTTTCGATTTATTTGTTATAATTGAAATATTCTTAAAGGTTATCATTTGAACATGTATTGTAATTGTAATCAGGAACAAATCTGAGAAAGGTGGAAACGGGTCATTTAAATATAAATGATCACAAAGTGAGTTAGAGGATCAGAAGGTGCAAATTCAAGTTTAATTGCAGAGCAAATCTCTTATTGCTTAATAAAATGCTGAACTTTAAGAGATTTTTTTGGATGTTTTTTTTTCCCTCTTCTGCAATCCCTTTTTAAACATCAGGATCATAAAAAAAAAATCAGTATATGATAATGATTACAAGGTGTTCTTGGTACTTTCTAAAGTCATAAAATCCATAGGTCACACTTGTTTAGTATTATAGTTTAGAAGATTGTTGTTTTCCTGTTCTTCCACCCATGAAGTATACAATAGATAGCTATTTTAATATTGATGGCACTGGGACCTATGGACGCGTCACAATGAAAACAAGCTTTTCTGTTTAATAAGAAAAGAGTAATGTGCAATATAAAGAGAGCTGCAGTAGCCAGATAACCCTGAGAGAAAGAAAAGAGAAATAAAAGCAAGTGTTAAAAACCTTTCTCAGAATTAACCTTACTTTCTTGGACTTTCTTGCAATTAATTAAGTCCTCATATGTGCCCTAACCACATGATCCACTAAAATTTGACAACCACAAATTTGAATATGCATACTTCCATACTATATAGTAGGTAAAAAAAAATAAAAACAGTATGTGAGAAGAATAGTATGTCCGAATTTCCAGTGTTAATAAAAAAAACAGGGAAAAAGTATGTTAATGTCCTACTACTGATGAAATTCTTGAGTGTTCATTCTGTAAACACTGTGGTACAAAAGGTACAAAACCTGTCACTGGGGTGGTACCTTTTCAAAAGTACTAATATGTACCATTTATGTGCTAATATGTACACTTCAGTGAATAAAATGTACCTTTATGTGTACCTTTTGAAATGGTGCTGCTCCAGTGACAGCTTTTGTAGCTTTTTTTCTGAGAATGTATCCCATGAGGCCACGGGAGTGGGTTTTGTGAATGGCAGTGAAGTGGCTCAACTATGTCACATGACAATGACAACAACACAAGTGATGTAGTACTTCTGGATTAAAATCGTACTACACGCATTCATATAGATCTTATTTAGCAGTAATTACTTATTCCAAAAAGTACCTACTCAGAGTGTATGCGATTTCGGATGCAGCCAAAGTGTCCAAATACTTTTTTTCCCCCCATCATGCACTGCATTTGTTCTCTGAGCAAACTGTTTAGAAGCCGTCTGCCGGGGTTTAGTGCTGTGTTTGTGTGTGTACGTGTGTGTGAGAGCGCAACAGACATGCTGTATTAATGTATGCCTGCTTAGAAAGGTTGCTACAGAGATAGCTGTGTTGCCTTGGGATGTTGAAATATCTTGTTTTGACACGCCTCGTCTTCCATACTAAAAAAATAAAAATAGGAGAAAAAAGACATTGCAGGCATCAGAAGACAGCACAGCTAATTAGTCACTTTTGTGCGGGAAGCGTGGTGAGATGATGTCACCGGCAGTGAAGTAATTACTACCCATAAATCATAGTGTGTGAGAGGTAGTGGTAGAGAAGCGAATGCTGCTTTTGGCAGCTCTATTGTCTTGAACTCATGAGCCCACTTCTGTCTCCTTAGTGGAAAGGTAAATAGACACCTTCTTGCTCGCAGACGTACTTTAGGATGAGGCAGATGAACGGTTTCCAGTGTAGCTCTGCATCTGTTCAGCACAAGGGTCTTTATTTCAGAAATTAATTTCAGATTTCAGAGGTTTTCTGGAGTAAAAGCGCTCCGGCTGCGCTGTGACATCAGGCATCATCCGCAGCATTAATTTTCTTCCCAGCATCACAGCGGTTGTTTTGGCACCCCCGTATGTTTTTAATAGTTTGGTATCTTAGGGCCTTGTCAAGATCTTGGTGGAGGCCTTTGAGTTTCTGTCAGCGTATGCTTTGATTTACTTTCTCCCCGTCTATCTCTCTCCACGCGGCCAAGAAAGCCTGATGTTTTACTGTCCCGAAACTGAGTGCGAATTTGCTGACGGTGCTAAACCGTCGGGATGCGCAGGCTGCCCAGCCGCACCACTTCTGAAGTTCTCCTGTGCTCTCATGTGACAAGCTGTCGGTTTATGACTGGGAGCAACTGGTATATGTTTGTGTCATGTTTATTTGCGGTTTGAATGCGCACATACGCCAAAGGGTAGCTTTAGAGTCGATGCTTTGTTCTGCGAGAGTTTGTTATAAATAGTTATGTTGTTTTGAAGTGGGGCTGCCCTGTGCTTCTCACACTTTTGTGCATTTTGAGAGCACATCTGGGTCTCCATAGGGTTTTTCAGTGGAGTTGACAGGGTTTTGTGAGTGTGTTGGTCTATTAAATGATTGTTTATCGTGCAGGACCTAACTAGGGAGAAAAAGAAAGGAAGCAGTGACTGTTGTGGATTGCACGTGAACCTGGTGCTTTATTCACAGCTCGATGCAAATGCAACACAGATGTTTCTGTACTGTACTGTGAAGTCTCCTTTCCTCTCTCTTCCCATTTTCTCTCATGCTTTCTCACCAGAAAATCCCTTTATGGTTCAGATTGGCACACGACATGCACAGCCTCCTCTCCTCCTGCTCCTCTTGCCTGTTTTCCATTGCTGCTCCTCACTCACGCCCTGACACCTACATATTACTTCTGTTTTCTTGAATGTGTTCCTCTGCTATTCCCAAATCCCTTTATGGTTCAGATTGGCACAAGACATGCACAGCCTCCTCTCCTCCTGCTCCTCTTGCCTGTTTTCCATTGCTGCTCCTCACTCACACCCTGACACCTACATATTACTTCTGTTTTCTTGAATGTGTTCCTCTGCTATTCCCTTTTCCTTATTAGTCGACTCCTGTGGAGTGTGTTGGTCTATTAAATGATTGTTTATCGTGCAGGACCTAACTAGGGAGAAAAAGAAAGGAAGCAGTGACTGTTGTGGATTGCACGTGAACCTGGTGCTTTATTCACAGCTCGATGCAAATGCAACACAGATGTTTCTGTACTGTACTGTGAAGTCTCCTCTTCTCTCTCTTCCCATCCTCTCTCCTGCTTTCTCATCAGAAAATCCCTTTATGGTTCAGATTGGCACAAGACATGCACAGCCTCCTCTCCTCCTGCTCCTCTTGCCTGTTTTCCATTGCTGCTCCTCACTCACGCCCTGACACCTACATATTACTTCTGTTTTCTTGAATGTGTTCCTCTGCTATTCCCTTTCCTTATTAGTCGACTCCTGTGGAAAATGTAATTTGAGCTGAATGAGATACATTTCTATGGTTTGGCACTTTGGCTGTTTTGTAGCTTGCGGGCTTGCGATACTTCATACTTTTCTTCTCCTTTACAATCTCTAGCAATTAATTCAGCTTGAACTGCTGTATTTAATGTCTATACAAACCTTGTGCTGTACAAAACTGTACTTAGGTGTACTATCTATTTTTTTATTTATTTTTGATCTCCATACTTCTTGTAAACATTTGATTACAAACCCACACACACACACTTACGGTGCCCCTGTGTATATATAATTCTGTCTTCATTTGAATTTTTAGTTAATGTTTCAGTAATTACGTTTTTTATGTGTTAGTTTATTATTATTCGTTTATTATTATTATTATTATTATTATTATCAAAGTTCATATAGCTTTCATTTATTTTATTTCAGTTTCAGTTTAGCATGATAAAATAAATGAGAAATGTTGCCTTGCAACTAGCTGGAATAAAATGTTTTAATAAATTTTTTAAATATTTTATTTTATTTTATTTAAAGTTTATTT